TTTCTTTTTGCACTGGATTTGGGAGATTTCAACGCTGAGGAATGCTCATACCCCGTTCATTCAACAAATGCTGCCTGGCACCTGCTATGAGCCAGGCCTGTGTCCTGCATGTCACCTCCTTTGTCAGGCTTCATCTCTCTTGGTCTCTGGCACCAATCTGCAGTGTTAGCTTCAGCATCCCTGTTTTCCTCAGCGATGAAACCGATGCCGAGGGAGGCGTCACCCAGGAAGTGAGTGTCAGGGTTAGGATTCAGAACAGGTCTTTTGGCTGGAAATCCTTTGCTCCTTCTGTTTTATCAAGGAACCTCTCAAGCTTCCTGCTTTACTCTGTTGAGATTTTAATTTTAAATGTTACATGTCTTCCAGTGCAAAAGGGTCCTTAGGAAATTGTCAAAACTAAGAACTGCACATACAGTTTTTGAATCAGGGTCTTAGAAATGTTCAAATCAAATAAATTTGGGGCAGATGTTTTAAGTATCTGCTTTTGGTTACTGCCTGAGTGACATCAGCAAAGTGAAACAGAAGTAATAATAGATTTTGTTAATAATTCAAGACAGCAACAAGAGTGTATTGTGGGAGAAAGAAGGGCGTGTTTGGAGTTAGCGTGGAGTCTGAGAGCAGCGTGACCCTGGGAGGAGGAAGGGAATAGCCTTTATCAAGCACTTGTCATGTGCCAGGTGCTCTGTGTGTGTGCTCTAATCTTGCTTGACTGTTGTAATGAGCTTCACAGGTAAATACAGTATCATACCCATTTTAAGATGAGAAAATTAAGGTTCTGAGAACATAAGCATCACACAGCTGGTGTGTGGAGGGCAGGATCTCACCCGGGTCTGTCTGTCTGTAAGGTCCACCCTTCTCCCTTTCAGGATGCCTTCCTAAGTTACTTACGGTGTGGAACTGAGACCCAAACTCTGCATTAAATGAATACATACCCACATGTGCACACACCACACATGCACAAGATATGAAGATAACTTCTGTTGTTTACTGAAGAACTCAGGGAATAACAAATGGAGCAATTATCAGCCAGAAATTGGGCGACAACCATGCCTCAGTCCTTGAACTTGGGTTTTACGGATTCTCCTTCATATCAGATTATAACCCGTACGTTTCCAGGACTGGCTTTGGGATCCACAGAGGAGAGAGGCTCTTGTCCTCACACTCACACTTTGAAAGGGCAGTAATATACATTTGCAAGCTGATTAAAGTATGTGATCTAAGGTGGGGTGGAAGGAGTCCATGGAACTGAGGCAGGTCAAATACACATTTGAAAAGAAACTTGAATACACATTTCAGAACAGGGACAATCATGGTAAACAGGGGTGAATTCTGAAGATCAAAGACATTCACGCCTACTTGTGAAGAGAAGTGGAGTTGAAGTATTCATTCAAGAGGATGAGTCCTGAGCCCTTTCCTTCTTTATTGAAGCAGGTGTGGTGAGAATTACACCAGACAAGTGAAGCTCCCTGCCCCACACCCACCCAACATGGGGGGATTCTGGGTAAATGGTGCATTAGTTAATATCGTTGTCATTCCTGTTACTTGGGGGTCTAAATTGTGAGGGTGAGAAGGACTTGGCAGGGTCAAGGAAGGCTGTGTTTTTTCACGTGGGTGACTGGGAGGACAGCGGTGCCATTTATAAAAGTGAGGCTGCCAGGAAGAGGAGCTGTGTTTCTTAGCTCCTGGTTGGTTCCCCAGTGCTCCCAAGTCCAGGTCATTCATCTTGTATCCAGAGCTGCCCACTGCCTGCAGCCGCCTGCCCACAAGCGCTGTCAGTGACTTAGAGTTGGGTCCTGAGCTGTACTTGAAGGGCATGGCACTTCTGATGTAACTGCTCAGCCAGCAGGTTTGTCTTCGGCCATTCCCACAGCATCCCCAGCCTTCCTTGTAGACCCCTGGTCTGCGTCTGTTCCAGCTGGTGGGCAGCTGACTCTCACTAAGACCTTATAAAAGTTCCAGGTGTGCGGCAAAAAGTAGTGTTATTAAAAATACAGGGAGTGATGTGAATTAAAAGGAGGCCTTGTAACTTAGGGGTAGAGAACTTTAGAATCTACCACCTTTTCTCCATTCTCTGCCAGGGGTCCCCAAGGCACAAGCTGGAATGCTGGGCATCTGGTTAATGGCTTTTCCTTGGTCCTTTTGTGTACTACCCCCAAGTAATCTCATTAGATTACTCCTGTTCTCTCCCTTGGCTAGGAACCAGTCTCACTGAGAGCTAAAATTTAGGTAATTTGATTCTTCAAATTATAATGCTAAACCTGCTGGAAAGGAAGAGACAGGCTCCTGAAGAAGGTATTGAAGGGGCCTCTCCTCCTGCCCCCTTTTGGTTATAAGAGAATTGGAAGGGGCCAACTTCGGGAAGGAATCTGAGGTCATCCCAGAAGCTTCTCTGATCACAGTGAGCTTGGACCGGGACGTTGCCTGATTCCAGGAATGGAGGATGTCACTTGGCCAATGAAATCTGAGAATCTTCAGCTAGATTTTAATTTTAAGTGAGCCTAGGGGATGCGTCTTGCTTGTTAAAACATTATATCCTTTCTCAGACAGTTTGCATTAAGAAGGGACTTCTGGTCCCGAGGAGCTGGCAGAATGGGGCTGAGAATATTTTGGCACAGAAGCGGTGGCCAGGGTAGTGGAGGAAAGTACCCTGCTTCTCACCCTCACCTCTGGGGGCCCCAGGATGCACCTCCACCTACAGACCTGGCCCTCTTCTCCGGAGAAGGAGGAGGATCTCTCCCACCCTCGTGAGGACATGGATGAAGAGGCTTCAGCCCTTCCCCACCTGTGTCCGCATTCCAGTTAGATGCCCCAATGTATTTGCATCCCCGTTAGAATCGCTGTTGAAATTGACTCTGTGCTTCCTAGGAACTAGCCAGCTGTGGATGGAGTAAGAAGGAGAAACATAGTCTCGCTCCCAACGTCGTGGCCTTTACCCGGAGGTTTAACCAGGTAAGAACACCCCTTGCATGTGCCTGTCCAGATAGCAGTCTGTTGTCCCCTGTAGGCTCGGAGCCCCTCCAGGCTTCAGTCCCAGGCACCTGGCTCCAGGTTCAAACCCTCTTCCTGAAAACCCTCTACCCCCTTATTCCTGCCTGTGCCATCACAGTCCTTTTTCACACAGCAGGTGAAACTGAACGCATCTTTCTTGTGTATAAATCATTTCAGTGGCTTCCAATTTAACTTAAGCTAGGTTCAGGCACCTTAATTTGCCCTGCAAGGTCCTAACAGTGGATCAGGCTTCTGTCCACTCCTCCAGCCTCATCCCTTGTCCTCCCCCACTACTCTGCGGGCTTCAGCCATCCTGGCCTTCCACATCTTTCCTGCTGCATCATATCTCAGGTCCATCAGATTCCCATTCATGCTGTCCTCTCAGCTCAGAATTCTTTGTTCTTGTTCAGCTCCCAACCAAATCTCAGCCTGAATGTCACTTTCTCTAGGAGTCTTCAGTGAATCCTCAGCCTGTGTAAGGTCTCCCTGTAGTATGTTCCCTCATTGCACCCTGTGCTTCTCCGTGTGGTCCTTTCCCCATCTGTCCTCGTTCTGTGTATCTTCCTTGCCGTCTGTGGGCTCCCTGAGGGCAGGAACTGATCTTGTTCATCACTGAGTCCCCCACCACCTTGCCCAGCGTCAGGCACATAATAGAGCTTCTATAAATATATGTAGAATGAACGAATGAAGTACTCAGGAAACACTTCTTGAATTGAATTTCTTTGAACTCCTGGCGGCCTGGTCATTGGCCGCATGCATGCTACTGCAGTCCGACTTGGTCTAATCAGAACCTTTGCTCCAGCATGAAGATCTGCATCCCCACTTAAAGGAATGATACTGGGGACTTGGACCAACTGAGGA